CCATGTGCACAGGGTGAGTGCCATGTGCACAGGGTGAGTACCATGTGCACAGGGTGAGTACTATGCACACAGGGTGGGTGCCATGTGCACAGGGTGAGTGCCATGTACACAGGGTGAGTGCCATGTGCACAGGGTGAGTGCCATGTGCACAGGGCGAGTGCCATGTGCACAGGGTGAGTACTATGTGCACTGGGTGAGTACTATGCACACAGGGTGAGAGCCATGTGCACAGGGTGAGTACTATGTGCAACAGGGTGAGTACTATGCACACAGGGTGAGTGCCATGTACACAGGGTGAGTGCCATGTGCACAGGGCGAGTGCCATGTGCACAGGGTGAGTACTATGTGCACAGGGTGAGTACTATGCACACAGGGTGAGAGCCATGTGCACAGGGTGAGTACTATGTGCACAGGGTGAGTACTATGCACACAGGGTGAGTGCCATGTACACAGGGTGAGTGCCATGTGCACAGGGTGAGTGCCATGTGCACAGGGTGAATGCCATGTGCACAGGGTGAGTACTATGTGCACATGGTGAGTACTATGCACACAGGGTGAGTGCCATGTGCACAGGGTGAGTACTATGTGCACAGGGTGAGTACTATGCACACAGGGTGAGTGCCATGTACACAGGGTGAGTGCCATGTGCACAGGGTGAGTGCCATGTGCACAGGGTGAATGCCATGTGCACAGGATGAGTACTATGTGCACAGGGTGAGTACTATGCACACAGGGTGAGTGCCATGTGCACAGGGTGAGTACTATGTGCACAGGGTGAGTACTATGCACACAGGATGGGTGCCGTGTGCACAGGGTGAGTACCATGTGCACAGGGTGAGTACCATGTGCACAGGGTGAGTTCCATGTGCACAGGGTGAGTACTATGTGCACAGGGTGAGTACTATGCACACAGGGTGGGTGCCATGTGCACAGGGTGAGTGCCATGTACACAGGGTGAGTACCATGTGCACAGGGTGAGTGCCATGTGCACAGGGTGAGTACCATGTGCACAGGGTGAGTACTATGCACACAGGGTGGGTGCCATGTGCACAGGGTGAGTACCATGTGCACAGGGTGAGTGCCATGTGCACAGGGTGAGTGCCATGTGCACAAGGTGAGTACCATGTGCACAGGGTGAGTGCCATGTGCACAGGGTGAGTACCATGTGCACAGGGTGAGTACCATGTGCACAGGGTGAGTACCATGTGCACAGGGTGAGTACCATGTGCACAGGGTGAGTACCATGTGCACAGGGTGAGTGCTATGTGCACAGGGTGAGTACCATGTGCACAGGGTGAGTACCATGTGCACAGGGTGAGTACCATGTTCACAGGGTGAGTGCCATGAGCACAGGGTGAATACCATGTGCACAGGTTGAGTGCCATGTGCACAGGGTGAGTACCATGTGCACAGGGTGAGTACCATGTGCACAGGGTGAGTACCATGTTCACAGGGTGAGTGCCATGAGCACAGGGTGAGTGCCATGTGCACAGGGTGAGTGCCATGTGCACAAGGTGAGTGCCATGTGCACAGGGTGAGTGCCATGTGCACAGGGTGACTGCCAGGTGCTTAGGGTGAGTACCATGTGCACAGGGTGAGTGCCATGTGCACAGGGTGAGTGCCATGTGCACAGGGTGAGTACCATGTGCACAGGGTGAGTGCCATGTGCACAGGGTGAGTGCCATGTGCACAGGGTGAGTACCATGTGCACAGGGTGAGTGCCATGTGCACAGGGTGAGTGCCATGTGCACAGGGTGAGTACCATGTGCACAGGGTGAGTGCCATGTTCCCAGGGTGGGTGCCATGTTCACAGAGTGAGTGCCATGTGCACAGGTTGAGTGCCATATGCACAGGGTGAGTACCATGTGCACAGGGTGAGTACCATGTGCACAAAGTGAGTGCCATGTGCACAGGGTGAGTGCCATGTGCAGAAGGTGAGTGTCACGTGCAAAGGTGAGTGCCATGTGCACAAGGTGAGTCCCATGTGCACAGGGTGAGTACCATGTGCACAGGGTGAGTGCCATGTGCACAGGGTGAGTACCATGTGCACAGGGTGAGTGCCATGTGCAGAGGGTGAGTGCCATGTGCTCAGAGTGGGTTCCATGTGCAATGGTGGGTGTCATGTGCACATGGTGATTGACATGTGCACAGGGTGAGTGCCATGTGCACATGGCGAGTGCTATGTGCAGAGGGTGAGTGCCATGTGCACAGTGTGAGTGCCATGTGCACAGGGTGAGTGCCATGTTCACAGGGTGATTGCCATGTGCACAGGGTGAGTACCATGTGCACAGGGCGAGTGCCTTGTACACAGGGTGAGCGCCATATGCACGGGGTGGGTGCCATGTGCACTGGGTTGGTGCCTTGCGCACAGGATGAGTGCCATGGGCACAAGGTGTGTGCCATGTGCACAGGGTGAGTGCCATGTGCACAGGGTGGGTACCATGTGCACAGAGTGGGTGCCATATGCACAGAGTGGGTGCCATGTACAGGTCTACAGGTGTAGACAGGCGCCTGTGTTACCGTGTGACAGGTGTAGACAGGCACCTGTGTTACCGTGTGACAGGTGTAGACAGGCGCCTGTGTTACCGTGTGAGAGGTGTAGACAGCCGCCTGTGTTACCGTGTGACAGGTGTAGACAGGCGCCTGTGTTACCGTGTGACAGGTGTATACAGGCGCCTGTGTGTTACCGTGTGAGAGGTGTAGACAGCCGCCTGTGTTACCGTGTGACAAGTGTAGACAGGCGCCTGTGTTACGGTGTGACAAGTGTAGACAGGCGCCTGTGTTACCGTGTGACAAGTGTAGACAGCCGTTTGTGTTCGACTCCAGCACTTCACAAGTGGTGTATTCCACTTACTAAGTTGTAATAATTAATGGAGTGTGTTGATATTATTTCTTATACCTTAAATCACGAAATAGCATAGTATCATTCTATGTAAATGCATTATTTTGCCTTGATTCTGGTGAGATGCTCTTGATCCGAAGAACTGCACCTCCCCATGCTTTGATCGAATTATACAGCCCCTATAAAACACCTTAAGGCTTTTGCGCTTTCCTCTGATTAAAAAATAACTGTAGTGAACGGCATGTTTCTTCAATGGCTGTTACATCGTATGGAATGACTGGAAGACTTCGTGGATATAACTGTGTAAGTGCAAGTTTTGTTGCGTACTGTGCAATAACAGGGAAAGCATCTTTGGTCAGTTTTAATCTTTTAGTGTTGATGTGTTTTCCTGGAGGTAAACAATCTGTTGATGTTAGTATGTGTAAGTTATATCACGTACCGATTTTACTAATCAAATTGGTCTCTGTGAAATAATTATCTAATGTTTGTTTGATTAGACATTAGTCACAGTTTTGACTCTCTGGTTATTCAGAGTTAAATAAGCACAATGTTTGACTTTATTTGGTTATCTTAGGTTAAAGACTATATCGTTTTTGTGCGTTCTTTCCTGAGCTTCATAAATTTTGCATCCCATTTGCAATTCTCTATCTGGTGTTCTGTTTCTTCTTCGTTTTCATGACCTTCCACTAGCTGGGGACGACGTTTAATAACCATCCATTTTAGAACTACTTTAGTCTGTCCAGATTCTCTTGTGGCCTTTTTCTGTATTCTCTGGCATTTATTCTTCTCAAACGTTCTACCTCATTTATAGTCAAAAGAATGTCGTTTACCAATATAAAGAACAGTAGCAGCCACAACTTATAACTTTGAGGGGCATTAATTATTAAAATTTGTCAATAGCAACTCTTGCGGTACTGTTACTTTCTGGCCCTCCTCATCCCCTGATATCGAGCAAAGTATATTTTCTGCTACCCTTGTGTTCTCTCACTTTATGGACTAGTCTCGGCAGCTCCCTAATCGACCTTATTCCTGGGTAATTTCTCTAACCATGTAGCTGAACACTAATTGCTGTATATCAGACATGGTTTACCTTCCCTAAACCCATGCTGGCTGTTATCTGGGGTCTAACACACTTCAAGTGAACTACCGCTTCACCGTAACCTTAGAGATCATGTTCCTTAACGTTACTGGCTTGTTATTTATTGTTGTCCTCGCTTCTTGAATACCTGAATGAAAAACAGGAATTGTCCTACACTAGCAGTCTTCCATTCTTCCAGGGATATAATGTAATCACGTCAGGATGGTAGGTGGGCACATCCAAGGTGCTGGGGAGTAAAGATCGAAGTTCTCTCTGGACTGTCCACGGGCTGTAGTAAGGCGCTTCGGAATATGGTCTTTCTTCATTGACATGCAATAGATTTTTGTTAAGTATTCATTCAGTGTGTTATCTACCTTTCTCCTGACCCATGGAGACACCTTGCTAAATCCATTTGCATTCTACTATGTCCAGGTTGCTTAGTATTTTATTCTATTCCCTGTTATGGTAATGCTCAGTTTTCTCTGAGCTATCAGTCCTCTCTGGCTCTTGGGTATCGTCCTTATTTCTTCAATGAATACTTTTTTGAATCATTTGTTTCCTGCTAGGCACTTCCTTGCAAGAAATTGCATCATTTAATTTATGGTGTATTTCCTTCAAATTATTTATCCCACTGGTATAACCGCATTAACAAAAACTCATATCTAAAAATAGTTCCCTTCTTATGTAATCACGTTTGTCTCAAACTCCATATATCTTTTCATGTACATATTTCCCATGTAGTCGAAGCATAGGAACGCATAATCATTCGTCACAAATGGGACATATTCTTTATCTCCTGTAAATAAATAAAATGACTGTGATGTGGAGACCAGTTCTTGTTTTGTCATTCTCGCTGATTCCTTGACCTGACAATTCAAGAGCTTGCTCAGGATTTTCCAATAGTTTTACCATGCATGTTAAAATATTTAATGTAACCCTGTTGCTGTTGTCTAGGAAACACTCTTTCTCTGACTCTCAGTTAATAATATTTCCACTAAAATATAGTAAAATCCTGACATATTGAACTATTAATTTATATATATTTTCAGAAGGTGAGAGAACATACCAAAACACACTCACCTGCTGTATCACCGGAAGCTGTCGTAGAGGTCATTGTTATCATCAGCACCAGCAGCCCCTCCAGCAGCAACCTCCTCACGGTCAGCCATGCTAGTGGTGTGCGCTCCATACCCTTACCACTAACTCGCTTGAAAATAAAGATCTTTGGTTACACAAAGATAGGCAAGGAAGTAATGAAGCTGTGATCGTCATATACTCATTCTGAAATTTTGCCTGTGGTAACGCATTCTCTACCCAGCCTTATGTATTAACAATTTGATCAGGGATTTTAAATTAATAGCCGAAGCATTGGTTAAAACGTATTGTTTGATACACTGTGACTCCAGTCAAAGCCACTTGGATGGCGAATGTTAAAATTAATAGCCGAAGCATTGGTTAAAACATATTGTTAAGATAAGATAAGATTTCGTTCGGATTTTTAACCCCGGAGGGTTAGCCACCCAGGATAACCCAAGAAAGTCAGTGCGTCATCGAGGACTGTCTAACTTATTTCCATTGGGGTCCTTAATCTTGTCCCCCAGGATGCGACCCACATCAGTCGACTAACACCCAGGTACCTATTTGCTGCTAGGTGAACAGGACAATAGGTGTAAGGAAACGTGTCGGAATTTCCACCCGCCGGGAATCGAACCCGGGCCCTCCGTGTGTGAAGCGGGAGCTTTAGCCACCAGACCACCGGGCCACCATTGTGACTCCAGATGTTACAGTCAAAGCCACTTGGATGGCGAATGTTAAAATTTTTGATATTTTTCCATAAGATGATATTCTCCAAGTCACGGAAACTGCAGCATTTTGCTAAGCCAGAAAACTAGTCATTAAACGAGCACTTACGGAAGACGTGGCAAGTCAGCAAAACACAACTAATAGCTGATTTCACATTTAGTCAATAAATCTTGGCATAATATGAAAATCTGAATAAATTGTGGAAAATACTGTAAATATTTTCCAGAAATACAGTAGTTATATGTAAATAGATGGCCATACTGTATTTAATAAAATTTATGTTCTCAAAAACGGAAAGCTGCGCCTGCGCAGAAGGACAGTCGCCATTGTTTGTTTGAATTGGAGTAACAGACATTGTGTAATGGGAAGAATTTTTCGTGCTCTAGAGGTTAAAATTGGGTTGACACCTCTCAAATAGGAGGCGAAATTGTTCGATGTACATTCCTGCATAACTTGAGATATCAGGCGACAGGACAGGACAACTCCAGGACCCTCAGATAAGCTGTCTAATTTATGTTTAAATTCTGGCCAGTAAATTTTTCATAAATGTAGGCAAAAGGGGGGGGTCCTGTACATGACACATTAATCTCCAGTCAAATTGGTGAGTGATTTTAAGATATTCTCCTTCTGTTATGTATACTTGTATATATGTAATCATTTACTATTTTTAATATATAGTCCACACATTTATATATTTACCAGCATTCCTGGTGATGTATATTTCATTTATAATTAATAGGTCCAGAGCAACTTGTGGATATGACAGTGGTAGGTATCGAAGGGGGACATTTTGGGCGACCTAGGTGTCCCAAATTCCTACTTGTCTAACTGATAAATAATAATTATCTATGTTCATTTACTGTTATGTACATAATGATACATTCAGATAAATGTAATTTTCCACATAAATCATTTAGGAAAAATCTTATCTCTTATTACAGTGAATTATTCTACAGCCACACTTAGTGATTTCTATGTAATCGTGTCATTGCTATTTCGCGAGTCATGCTGGAAGTCGCTTCTACCAACAATATTTCTGTTTAGGCTATACAAAAATTATGTGACGAGGCTGGTATTGTAATGAAGGTTTCTCTGGAAGGAGACACTTCCAGTACTCGTAGTGTCTTTCCCCGGGGAAGAAAGAGAAGTGGTGCTACATAACAGCTTGAGAATGCTCTTTTCTGATGTAAAATTTCCACCACCAGTGCATCTTATTTAGAGGAAATGGATACCTAACAACCTGTCGGTATTTTATACCATTTTAATGTTCAATCTGTCAGACACTGCAACACAAGGGTATCTTGGTACAGACCTGCATTCATCTTCGACAACCTCTACTAGTGAGAACGGCTGGATTTGAGAGGGACCTGACCTCCCAACATCTGCGTTCTACTAGTGACCTACGTCTCACCTCCTGGCGCTATATAAGGCTCCATCCTGTCACTTCAACTCCATATTGTTTCTGACTATGAAACAATGCTCTTCTCTAGACTGAGGGACTGACCACCTCAAAACTTTAAGGGTGATGGACTGATTACATCGTCTTCAAGTCTCTTCTGCTTCTATCAACTTTTCTGTACTCGACTGAAGAAGCCTACTGTGTAGGCGAAACGTTTCGAAATAAAGATACCTAACTGTTGCATATGTGTCTTACCTAACAACGGAAAAAGGATGGTGGAATCAGGCCCATTGCAGTGGGCAACACCCTTCGGCGCCTAGTCGCCAAGGCTGCAGTAAGAAGGGTGAGTCAAGAGGCTGCTGCAATGCTGAAACCAACTCAGCTCGGTTTCGGCGTTCAATAGGGCTGTGAAGCAGCTGCCCACGCAGCATGAATATATATCAAAAACGTGTCCGATGAAAAAGCCTTGGTCAAATTGGACTTTGCCAACGCTTTCAACTCAGTCAGAAGGGTTGCTGCTTTCCCAGCAGTTCATAGAAACTTCCTTCCCTTTATCCCTTCATAGAATCGTGTTATAGTGTGACTTCCAAACTATTGTTTGGGGACCATAAAATTGACTCATGTGAGGGCGTGCAACAGGGGAACCCTCTCGCCCCCTTTCTATTCTATTTTGTCATCAAGGAAGTCACAGAAGCACTCTCTAGCGAGCTCAATATCTGGTTCTTGGATGATGGTACCTTAGCTGGCACAAAAGAATCTCACCTAGAGGACATCAGTAAAATTAAAGACATGGGAGAAAGCCTGGGCCTTTCTTTAAACCCCACCAAATGTGAAATAGTTTCTACCAATCGACAGATGATCCAGAATATTAGCACCGTTTTACCAGGAGAAATAGCCATTGATCCAGCCAATAGCACTCTCCTTGGTGCTCCTCTTGGGTCCAATGCCATCGATCTGATCCTAGAAAAAAAAGTCTCAGACCTCCGGACGATGGAAAGCAGGATGAAAGACATTGACACACACGATGCCTTCTACCTACTCACCAGGTGCCTGTCAATCCCAAAACTTACCTATTTTCTGAGATGCTCCCCAGCCTTCAGCAGTCCAAAACTCAAGGAATATGACTCTCTCCTGAAGGCCATGCTAGAGAGTGTATTGAATCTTTCCCTTGAAGATGGACAGTGGTTGCAAGCCTCACTTC